TTTGACAAAGTAATTCATCATAGAAAGTTTTCCCATAAATCCTACGTGATATTTCCGTAATTAAACTTTTTTCTATAAACGTGGTGGGTCGAAGCTTTCAGTTTAGGAGTTGGAAATGTCTCCACTGCCCGATGTCAGGAAGCGTGGCTTGTATTTCTTCCATGTGAACTCTGTTGTCCTCGAACGACATTTATTTGCAGCTGTGGACTAGGAAAGTTCAGCTGTCATCACACAAATACAGTTTAATTTGGCCTCAAGAATATCAGTAATTGTCATTTGGGAGATCCTAGTGCTGTGCCTCAACCTGACAGTGATCCCTGTTACGATGCAGCCAGCATGAGTGTCAGTAATCAGTTATTTTTGTGGACAGGGTGGATTACTAAATGGTGATAATACTCAGCGCTCAAATCATAGAATAATGCCACCTTGTAAGTCACATGACTCGGGCTGTCTGTCAGTAGGAGGGAGTCCTATAGTGATGGATCGTTAAGAATGAAATTGGAAAACTATGGCCCAGGGGCTATATTTGACTCCCCATCTGTTTTTGTAAATAAGGCTCTTTTTGGAACAGAATAATACTCATTTATTTAGGGATTTTCTGTGGTCATGGCAGAATTGAATAGATGTAATAGGGTGTATGGTCAGAAAAGCCAAACTACCCACTATTTGGCCCTGGCTCTTTATGGTGAAGTTTACAGACCTCTTATTAAGACTGCAGTTTATCATTGTTGTTGCTGTTTGTTTTCTAGTAGTGAGGACTGAATCCAGGGTCCTTGCACTGAGGTACATCTCCAGCTCTTTTTGTTTTTGATTATGAGATAGAGTCTTGATAATTCACTGAATTAACCAGGCTGTGCTCACATGGTGACCTTCCTTCCTCAGTCTCCCAGGGTGTTGGATGATAGGGTGTACCGGCACCATGCTGGGCTAAGACCATAGGTTTTAGAGACTGGTAAAGCTGAGTTCAACCCTGGTTCCAATTTACTTAACTAAATGACTGTGGATAGAGCAAACACTCTAAGTTTTGGGTTTCCTTATCTGCAACTTGTTACCAGTAATACAAGTCCTTCACTTTTTAGCTGTGATTCATGAAAAAGTTGTGAACTTAATTTATTGGGACAAGAGAGGGAGGTGTTGAATTTTAGTGCTAAAACTCATTTTGGTGCCAAAACTTAAGCTTAACTCACATGAACTTATTTAAAATCATCTATCTCTCTAGCATCTCTTTATTGCATCAGTCAGAGATATTAACAGTATGTCAATATCCACAAGTCTTAGTGGCATGGTACAGTGGAACTTTACTTATCACTCACAGAAAGTAAAATACAAATGGAGAGGGCCAGATTTGGAGCGGGGGTGGTCCTGGCTTCTTACACTTTGCTCTAAGGTTGTCTGGAATATGCGACCTCACAATCGCTACAGATGGCAAGAGAGAGGAAGGAAATGTTACCTCCACCCGTATTCCATTATTAGAACCTCCGTGTGGCCCTAACTAATGCCACGAGAGGCTGGAAATATGGTCCAGTCGTGCGAGCAGGAAGAGGAGCACCTGTGCACTACTGATCCGTAGAAGGTTCTACCACGCTCATCACATTTTAGTTCAAAAATATTACACATTTAATTGAACAGTGCCATAGGCCCTGCTGGTGACATTAGTTAAATATATACATATACATACATACATATATATATATATATATTTATATTATATATAAATAAATATATATATTATATATAAAGAGCTATATATATACAGCTCTAAAATATGGAAGATTGAAAGAAAAAATCTCAGATTGGCGGGGCTGAGGGGATGCAGGTAGGGGTGGGGACCTATACGTACCTCACTGCAACCTGGGACAAGACGACCTGGGTTTGAATCCTTGGTCTGTCACTTTCTAACTGTGTGAGCACAGCAGGTAGCTCTATGATTCCCTTTTCTTATTTGCTAAAAACGAGATAATAATAGTACCCAGAAAGACTAGTATTAAATGACTCAACATAACACATAATATAAGAAGTGGTAAATAAAAAGTATCTCTATATAACTATTTTTACCGTTACATTTTAAGCATTTCATAGGGTAAGTGCTTATTATAATTAGATGTAGCACTCACTCATAGCATCATAGAGTAATCTTTTAGCTTTTGCTTGAATATTTTCAAAGGCAGAAGATCCCTGTGTAGTGTAGTGACCAATGTCATTATTATCTTTGTTAGTAATTCCCCCAGTCAATAGCTCTTATGGTTGACATCTGACAAATATTGAGCCCATACTTGGTGTGAGGTACAGAGCCAAGTCCTTTATTGACCCTATTCCTATTTCACTCTTACTCTATCTTGGGAGGTTACTTTTCTTGCTGCTTTTATTAGGTGATATCAAGATGGAGGTCCAGAGGATTTTAATACTCAACTCCAGGGTCTCACAGCCACTTGGTGGCAAAATGAAGATTAAAGCCAACTATATTCAAACCCAGGGCCCTTCCAGACTCATTCATTCTGCCCTCCAGGTTTAAGCAAAGTAAATAGAAATTTTCCATTTCCCTTTATCTTAAACAGGGTGGTCAGTCTGCTCTACCTCCCAGTATGCTGGTGCTACTCAAAATACATTCTTTACCTAAGCATTTCTGTTTTTTAGAAACTTTCTACGTAGCTGATTGATTTAGAAAAATAACTTCAATAGCCTAGTTTTAAATTTGATTTTGACTCAACATTTATTACTTTAGCCATTAGTTTGCTTTTAAAAGGAAAGGCATTGTATGAACATACACTTATATATAACCATTTCAACTAATTTCCCAGATTACAATCAACATTCATCATAATTACTGGTATTTTACATAAATATTATAAAAGCAGTGTTACTCATAATTCTACATTATTAACATCAGACTAAATTTATATGCAAATTGAATATAAGGTACTATGGGAAACTGATGATATATTTCTGGTTCATAAGTTATTTCAAGTAATGAAATCACTAGTAGTTTTGGCCTTGCTCATCTTCTGCAATTAGCTCAAAGTGTTTTTGTTTTTTAATTAGGTGAAGTAGAATTTTGACTTCCATATTCCACCTAAATCGAGGCTGTGCTGGAATTAATCTTGTGGGTAAAGTACAGCAAATACTAACGGGATGTTTTAGGGTGGTCTAGGCTGGCACCATGGGAGAAAGAGTAAGGAGACTGCACTGAAGGCATCCTTGCCACGTCCTCTCTGTCCCCGCTGAGTGTGGCTTTCCTGTCTAGGGTAAACCCATCCACCCTGTCCCAACTTCTTGGCTCAGACCTCCTTAGCCACTGCCCGCCTCTGCCTGTGTCTATTCAATAATAACTTGGCTGTGTTATCCAAGATGACATTTTGGGATTCCCAGCCCAGGAGATCTCTATCCCACCATTCCCTGTGCCTGAGGGCAGAGGAAGAGGCACTTTGCTGTGCCTGGAAATTCTGCACCCGGGACCAGTGACCTAATGACATCTCAAGAGATTCCATGTTTCTTTATTTGCTGTGACTTCATGCAGCCCTTGTACCCAGAGCTGACCAAACTAACGTGTCCCCTCCTAAACATGACGGACTTCTTTTATAATTCTACCAAGCTCATGTTACAGACATTTTGCATTTGTCTTCAAGGCCTTTACCACAGTTCAGCATTAATCAATTCCTGTCTGGGGTCTTAGAACAGTGGCTAAATGACTCCATGTTTTCAGGAACACAGCTCAAATATATGATCAAGCCTGCTGAAATTTCCTTAGCATCTTCATCTCCCCAAGACAGTCCAACCTCCTAAGAAATGTCAGGTTCTGGTCTCTGCCTCCTTCCTCAACCTTCCCACCTGGCTCTTGCATCAGTGATGAGTCTTCCAGATGCTTTGCAAATCCTAACTCTTGCTTTCTAGGCCTGATATGTTCTGCTGGTCTTCTGCCTCATGTCCCTCTATTTCCACCCTGGCCTTTATGCTTTTCATGAGCTTCTGCTGTTTCCTTCAGGCTTAGTTCATCTAATCCCATGAGCAGGCCTTTTTGCTACCAGTACTTTCTCTTTGCTGGTCCTATTCCAGAACTGAAATCTTTGCCCATGTAAAAGCTGCATCCTTCAAAAATGTATCTCTCAAGATGCCTCATTTGCATTCCATCCCATCCACCCATCCACCCACCCACTGGAAAACAGTTACAAAGTAAAATAATGGATAAAACTACCACCCAGAAATGAAGCGCAGCCATTAGCTATAAGCAAATAAGTGAGATGCACACTATATCCATGGTGTTAACAAAATAGAAAGCACCAGTCTTCACAGCTTCTCACAGTTAGTGTTTGGCTTATTCTCCTAACACGTAGATTTAAATATATTACTACTTGCGACCTGCTAGGTACCATAGGAGCCATATGAAGGGCTTCCCAATACACACACACACACACACACACACACACACACACGCGCACACACGTATAAGTATATACTGAATATGCATTATTTTATATAAATAGGTTATGTGACTACCCAGGACAAATTTCATTTCATTAGAAGCTCATATTCATGAACAAATTTGCATGCTTCCTCTAAAGATCCAAGTTTTTGGTTTTAGAAGACATTTCCTTATACATGTGTCAGGCTGGTGAATATCGAATATTTCTGTGTTTAATTTCTTGACTCTCCCCATCAACTTTCCAGGGTCTCCACAGCAGGGCTTTGAAGATACTAGCTCTGTATTTCTGGTGTTAGTTAAATCATTTGCCTTCTAAGACTGTTCTCATATAGGTGAGGAAATCCTCATCTGAACAGAGTAAAAAATACACCAAGTAGACAATAAGCCAAGTAGGTTGTAATTTGTACTTCTTTTGAGATAAGAGCAGCTTCTTGGAACCCCAATGAGCAAAAGAAAGTGTTCTTGGGCTTTTCCCCTCTGCTTAAAGAGGATCAAATTACCAAAGCTGATTTTCCCACTAACGGACTAAAATCTCTTTCAGAGTGTCTTAAGCCAAATGGTATAAAAAGAGCCCAGAACTTACCTCAAAACTCACAGCTCCATTGTGGTCTGTATCGAATGCATTGAACAGGAAATGTGCGTACGTGGTAGAGTCTGAAATGTTGAAAAGGGAAGATCATTAAGTCAGTGCACTGATAGCCTACTTGAGACTCGGAAGGCGGGTCTAAACCTGCCTTTCTGGAGGAAAATTAATCCACCCTCTTTAGTTTATGCTTTCTTGTCAGCTTCCCAGCGTCTCTTGGTAGAAGACTACAACTTGAGATCCTTAGGAATCACACACAGAGGCCACTGGGTACAGGCACCTGGGCATCTTTGAATCTCGGGTAAGGATAACAACACAGGGCCAAATTATGCCCCACGGGTGAGTGTAAGGATGAAGTGAGACGTCTGGAAATTGCTTAACGCTTGGCAGAGGGTCTCCAGAAATAAAGTAATAAGAATACAAATAATGAGACGGAGATGAGTTGCTATTAATAGTACTTGCATCATTTTTACAGCTCAGAAGAGTATACTGGGGCTCTGGGAGGTTCACAAACGTGCACATTCATACAGACAGAAGTAGATGTGAGCCACGAATGCACTGAGGTTAGCTCTCAGCTGGGCTGGTTGCTAGTGGATGCGGACAGAGGGAACTTGGACGTTGGAGGGGGAACTAGTCCTCTGGATTCCTAGCTGTGTTGCAGCTGCAGGCCACACCACAGGGGGCGCTACCTTCTCCAGCTCCAGGCGGACGCAAGGCTCTGGGTGAAGTTAAGTAAGGAAAGTTCTCCAATTCTCCTCTGTTTGCTTCTCCTTTTTCTTCCTCCTTCTTATCCTGTTTCTCCTTTGCTTCCTAATCTTTGAGCAGAGCTCTGCAATTTCATTTTGAAAGTATAATTTTTTGTTTTCTTTTCTTCATGACCAGCTTTCATTTTTAAGTGCTTTTGTTTGACCCTTGATCAAATTTACATGATTATTTTAAATGTTCCATCTCATGGGTTTTATCCTTTTGTCTTAAGCTTTTTTTATTTTGAAAAATTGTAACCTTTCAGTTCATTGGCTCCAGCCTTATATCTTCTGTTTAAAATCCGATCTATTTCTATTTTATGACTTTTTGCTTTTATTTTTACTGGGATTTAACATATGCTCCATTCCCCTTTTACTTTATGAATTGCTTTTAACATGCTGTCAAGAAACTAAATCAGAGGAGTAGAGAACTGCCTTTCCCAAATACAAGAGGGTACAGACATCCCAGTGTCTTTGGTCTTTCCTCTTGCCCAGTCAAAGGTAGCAGTATCAACTCTAAAATTATTTACTTTAAAATTTTTCACTTCCTGTCAAAGAAATCCAAACTCCTCTCTGCGCTCATAATCTACTTAAGGGTTATTTTTCCTGAATGTTTCACACTGGTGGTTAACACCATTGAAGACCACACATTTCATGAGGTAGACTGAACAGTCAGTTTCTCAAAGTGATGGTCATGTCTTCTCGCAGCTATCACCTCTAAATGTATTACGCAGAAACACTTATTTTCAAATATTAATTTCTAACATTTGTTTTCAATGAAATAACGAAGCATGAAAATCGAGTCTAGATACTATGTAAAACCATTGTGCCTAGGCTGTAGAGCCACCTAGTATCCATAGATTGCAGGAAGAAATCATTTTGGGTTGTAGAATCAGGGGTTTCATTAGAATTGGCTTAGTGCTATTGGTGGGAAGTTCTACCACAGAGTAATGAACTGGCAGGCTATTTTCATTTGCAAAGTTGTTTTGCTCTCAACAGTATATTTTCACAAAGTTATTAAAGTATTTAGTATTCCGTGGGGATGCGAGCTGATAGGTGGCATGTTAAAATTTATTTTCAGGGGAGAAAAAAAAGAGAAAGTTTACATATTTTGTAATGAGCTTCATTAAGCAGGTCTCTTGTTACCCTGTTTGTACAGTCAATGTAAAAGTCTTTCCTTAGCTAGCAGAACTCACCATGAATAATAGCCTTGAGCAAATGACTGTAATTTCTTAAAACTTAAAAACAAGGTAACATAGGTGTGTGATAATGACTTTTCTTCTCAAATGAGGTTTCTGTAGCTTTAAAGCTCAACTTGTGGCATTAACTTCTGTCAGTGTAGACCTGAAGAATTCTTGTTCTTCTCAGTGGACCTGGCAGTTCTCCTAGAAGTTATGCCAGTTCTTTAGCCTAGATTTATCATGCACTATTAACTTTTGTTGATGAGGTAGTGATGGTGTGCCACGACCACGCCAGTAGAGTCTGCGTGACAATGCCGGTCACCTGGCAGAAACCAGACCAGAGGTATCGTCCCCACGGGGTTAAGCCTCCTGGAGGTCCTTGGCACACACCGCATGCAAAGTCAGCCGTGAAGAGAATAGCTGGCCTCTCTGCCTGCAGTTTGGGGACATTGGGTTCATCTATAATTCTGTTCTATTTTGTCTTTATTACTATTTGTTCATTATCTGTAGAATTGTATTCTGGGCCCAAGAAAGGTTAGGAACAATTAGATGTTCCTAGAGATGTGGAGATATTGAGGCACAAGAGGATGGGCGGCCAAAGTGCTGACCCTGAGCCCCGGACTGTGAAGTCCTGAAGGTGAACCTGAAGGTGACATGCTAAAGCCAGTCCTTTGTCTTACAAACTTCCCCTTCTGACTGCGTATAGGTGTGGTCTTACCTTGACTCAATGGTCTTAGCTTTTGTGATGGTATATAGGTGTGGTCTTACCTTGACTTAATGGTCTTAGCTTTTGTGATGGTATATAGGTGTGGTCTTACCTTGACCTTGTGGTCTTAATTTTTACAGTACTATTGTCTATCTTATGCCTGCCTGTGACTGGAATCACTCTTGTGATGTGCCCTTGAAACTAGTATATAAACACCTGGAGTTAGAAATAAAATTGCAGCAGCATTGGCAAACTTCACCTCGGTGTTGAGTGCTTTTGTCTGACTGTCATCGCCGAACCTGCTCCCACCTTTCAGAGAACCTGTATCTCCTCGTGAAATCCCGTGTATGCTGCCCTACGGTCGGTAGCAATGGTGTGAGAAACTGAAAGTTCAATAAGGACTAAAAGGTATAATAGATAATGTGAAATAGGAAGAAAAGGTGTGAAGGGGAAGGGGAAATGGGAGGGGTAGGGGAAGGGAAAGAAGGTAACGGAATTAATATGAGAAACTGAAAATGGAAACAAAGTCTTTCTAGATAGGGAGGGGTGGGGGGGTTGAAGGGAGGACAGGGGAATGGGGGAAAAAAAGAGTCAAAATAGATTATGCAAAGGTACAAATTTCCAGGGATGAATGTCATTATATTATATATGCAAAATGTACCAATAAAATTAATTTTAAAAAAGGAAGTGAAATTAAACTGCCTGAATTTGAATTGTATTTTTACCAAAGATTAACTGCATGACTTTGAGCAAGCTGTTTAACAGCTCTGTGACTCAGTTTCCCTATCTACAAAATTATAACAATACCAATATGTATATCATACAGCCATTATGTGATTTAAATTAATTTCCATATATATGCAAATTGTTTAGAATTATTGTCAGCATCTATTGAATACTCGACACATATTCACTGTTTTTATTCTTTCAGGTACAGAAGCTGTTCTTATTTCAACTGTCTTTAAAAACTGTGCTCACTGAGCAGGAAGGGGAAGGGAATTAAAAAAAAGAAGCAAACTATTATATTCATGGACCCACTCCCCAAGATTATAAACTGCACATACTGCAAATGTAGTAATACACGACAACAAGAAGAATGTGGTCAAAACTTTTACAGTTGTAACGTTCTTCTCATCTGCTGCCATGTGGCCCTGCCCTGGACAACTCACTATGGACTGATCTCCATGAACTGTGAGACAAAGTACACCTTTTCATCCTTAAGTTGTGGATGTTGAACATTTTGTCCCAGCAAGAAGAAAGCAACTAAGACACCGCACTGAGAGAACAGGTGTCAGAATCAGAAAGACCAGTTGAGAAACTATGGAATTGCTTTGCCAAGAGATGATGGCAGACCTTTTAAGGGAAAAGCAATTTCAAAGAATGATGGCAAGATCAACAGCGGAGTATATTCTGGCCACAATTACTGAAAGAAGTGATGGCTGCCTCCTATGTTGAGCGGAAGTCAAAGCTAAAAAGGAAAACTAATTGTTCTCCTCCCAATTCAAAGTGAAACCTCTTCCTCAACTCCCGATTCATGACCTTCCTTTGCCATGTCTTATCATTTTCTCTTACAGATCTGCATTTTATTATTTACCCTTACTCACAAATTCTGAACATCTCTCTCTTCACAAGCTCTTCTGTATGCAAACAAGTTCCAGGCTCTCCCATTTTAAACTCCTTCCCTGGTATCCGCATAGCACTATAATCGGATTCCTCCTCATCCCTCCCCTTTCGCAGACAAATTTCCTATCAGAGCCTTTTCTACTGGTATATTTATTTTCTTACTTCACATTTGCTCTTCTGTGTTCTGTAACCTGGATTCTGTTTGTGACCCACACTCCATCCTCAGTAAAGCTGCCCTGATCAAGCTCAAATGTACCTTCCTGTACTTAACTTCCTGGAATTCTTGGCTACAATGTTTAATATCTTTATTCTCCCAGTCGACTCACTCAGATCATGGATTTAGCCAGCATGTCAGGGTTAATAATTCCCAGATCTGTCTATTTCTCAGACTTATTTTCATTGTTAGATTTTTATCAGCCTTTTGTTGATCTCCAATGCTCACAGCATCCCAAATGCAATTTGTAACAAACCTCATCATTATCTGTCCATTTCTCTTTAAATACTTTTGAAAGTTGTCACAACAGAAATTCAATCACTCGTCAAATTCTGCCATATTTTATCAAATATGCCCGTAATGCTACTTCCATCCCAACTTTTCCATTCATACTATGTGTGCCCTGGTCGAACACATCATTTTGCTTCTGTAATACTCTTCCAATTAGTCTTTTTGCCTGTAGTATTACCTACCTTAAATTAGCCCTCCACAGAGCTATTAGAAAAATTCATCAAAAACAGAAATCTGACAACAGCTCTTATTTCAACCCATATGTGGCTTTAGATCATCTCAGCAATGCAAGTTCCCATTTCATCACATGGAATTCATGATTCTCTAGGACATTTCACCCAAAACACACACCCACATGCACCTTCATTTTTGCACGCAACCTTTGGCTTCTAGTCCATTTGCCTAGAGTGGGCCTGGGGACTTGTAAAGCTGGACGCCATCGGGCTTGGCAGTGAAATGCCTTCTGAGAAGTACGAGGAGGCAGTGGAAGACTATATATTTCAGAAATGGGCTGACCTCTCTTTGCCTTAGCTTCTGTGTTTACAACATGGCAAGGTCATAGCTAGGGCTGTTGGATTGTGATGGGGTAAAGCCTGCCAGGCATACTTTAGAAACTCCAGAATGCTTATCAATTTCAGCTTGGGTTCAATTTACCTGGGTAGCCTCTTTTTGCTTTCCTGTCCTCTAGTTGGTCTAAATATGCCTACATCAAGCTCTCATAGTCTTTTTTTTTTGGTGCTGGGGATCGAACTCAGGCCCTTGCGCTTTCAAGGCAGGTGGTGGAACTGAGCCAAATCCCCAGCCCTCATAATACAATTTTAAATCCCATCTCCACACACTTCGTGTAAACATTGTCCTTTTGCTGTACTAGACTATAAAATAACAGAACTCAGAGGCAGGGACCACACCTACTCTTATTTCTCTCCCATTAGCAGCACTTTACACATAGCTAGGCACATTTGGCTGGGTGACACATTAGATATTATCATTTGTTGGATGAGTTAGGATCCAATATCAACTTTTTATTCATTTCTAAACCATATATGCCATTGTCATGCTATTTGTGTATTTTATTTCTAAGTAAAATAACTTCTACAGTGTGTTAGTTTTTTTCAGATGGGGAGTTCAAAGGAAAGAGTTACTGGAAGGGAGAGGAGATAACTGAAAGTACATTTGACAAGGCTGCGGAAAAATCTAGGTTATAACCCAGATCTGCCACCGAGTAGATGTGTGACTGACCCTGAACAAATCATTTAACTTCTCTAAGCCCCAGATTCCACATCTGCAAACTGGGGATAATTATATATGCCCTAATTTTGGGAGTTGGGAGACTCAAATGACGAAAGTGAAAAAAGTCTTGAAACTTTATGGGGGCCCCTGTAAAATTCAGAAAACAACGTGCCCTGGAGAGCACCAGACACACAGTCATACTTGTATTAGACTGAAAAATAAGCTCTTGGACATCTGATAATTTGTAAGTTGCTCACTTTTATGACACACTGAAAATTCTACATGCTTGCATGCTATGTATTAATTTCTTTGCATAAAGATTAAAAATGTAGAGTCATGCCATGAAAAATTAACCAAACTCAAGATTGCAGGCGTAACTCTAATTCCAGGAACATGTTAACAAGCCCACATTTGTACTTACCTCCCTGTGGGAAGAACTGGGAGTAAATCTCTTTGAAGGTCTCTTCATTGACAACACCACTGGGACATTCCTAGAGAAAGCGGCAGAGAGGCGACATGAGCAAATGGTTCCTAAAACTCATGTTTCTGCACATTTTGAAACAGAACTGCCTGCCATGCAAAAGCTACAAGAAAGTTAACCATCCAACCATTATTATGAAGACAATAAAAGCACACTGTAAAGTTCTCTTTGTTCCATTTCTCACAGAATTTTTTAAAACAGCAAAATTGAAGATGAAAATATCTTTATATATGAGCTTCAAATCCAGTCTGACATATTAAAAAAAAACATTATGGCTTTTAAGAACATGCATGTTTGTGATCAATGAGTTTTGAAGAAATTGCATTGTTTTTCCTATTTTTAGGGTATTACAAGAAGCTTATCATGTAGTGTTTGCAGAATCTTGTCTCTCTGTTTTGTTGCAATTTTCTGGACTCACACAATCTGCAGTTCAGTACTCCATTAAGGCTGAAGGTGGCTGTTGTGGGTTGTAACTAGATGTCCCCAAAGCCTCATGTGCTTATATGTGGAGCTTTTCACGAGTGGCTGGATACAGATAGTGTAAATATGGTTTAAAGGTGTATGATGTCTGGATTAGTCCCCTAATGGATTACCATAGTTCTGTGTTGCTGAATGAATTTACTGAAGAGGGAAGCCCTACCTTGGATGTGGGTGGTACCAATCAACAGGCTTGTAGCTTGGATGGAATATAAAGCGACAGAAAGAAGGCAGGTTCACCATCTCCTGTCTGCCCTGCCACAGACTATTTCTCCTGCCACGCCACCCTGCCTTGGAGCCAGCCGATTGTGGACTGAAACCTCTATAAACTGTGGGCCAAAATAAACCTTTAGCTTGTGCTGTTGGATGTTTTCCCAGCAAGGAGAAAAGTAACTAAGACTGTTGATCAGGAAACTTTAATCAGAAATAGTTAGAAATTCCTGCTAACAGGTTCTTCGTAACAGGTATACAATGACATGCTCTTATAATAAACGACCTCGATGAGATAGAACCTGAAGAATTTTTCAAGGTTTGGTTTTCCGAAGAATTTGCAAAGGAATAAGTCTGACCTGAACTTAATGACTTCCCACCTTGTCCCATGGATGGAGTCACTGAAGAATGAATGCTAGACAAATGAAAACTACCTCTCTGAATGATAACATTGTTTTCTTAATTTGATCTTCCTTTATTTCAACGAGCCCAATACTCACCTGTTATGTGCAACACATGAGGAACTTTTTTCCATCCGTTCATTTTTACAGGCGGGACCTTTGATATATAAACAGCTTTAATTGATAATTTCAAAGTGCATTTGGGTTTATAGGAGTCGTCATTATTTTTCTCCCATTTGACTTAAACCTGTGACTGAGCCAAAATACTTCATTCACAGAGGCAGCTGAGTAATAAAGAATTAGAGGAGCTGAGCAGTAAAGCACCTAGATACTTAGCAAGACTGGGAGAGGCTGGAGCAGAAAGGTGACCGTGGGCTTTCCAGGTCACTACAGGATGGTGTAATAGATGATCCCTCTGGAAAAAATGATCATTCCGAAGACCTAAGAGGACTGTAGCAAGGACAGTGGAACACAAGCGAGCCAAAGAGCAAGCAAGCAAACTGTGATGGTTATTTTATATGCTAACTTTCCCGGGCCTCAGGGTACAAGTGTTTACTGACACATTATTCTGGATATTTCTGCAAAGTCCTTTATACTTGAGGCTCACCTTTAAATTGGTGAACTTTGAGTGAAGCAAATTCTCCTCTAAAATGTGGGTGGAACTCATTTAACCCACTGAAAACTGCAACAGAGCAAAGACTGAATTCTTTGAGCAAGAAGGAATTCTGCATCAGACCACCTTCAGGCCGTCTCTGACATGGGATAATCGCTCCTTAACAAGCAGATTGCTTTGAATTTTAACTGCATCTCACTCCTGACTGGCTGCCACTGACGTCCTCCATCTGATTCTACACCAGCCAAACTTCACAGTGTGCCAACTCCACAGTGTGCAAGCCAGTGCCTCAACTCCCTCTCTCTCTCATAAATATATGCTTTCTCTGGAGAGAACCCTGGCCAATATATATATATATATATATATATATATATATATATACATATATGATAGAGCTAATCATGAAAAAGTTTTGATTTAACAACGATTGGTCACAACAGACCAATTGTAAGAGCAAATAAACATTTTATAGGTGGACCCCCTTACAAATGGAAATCGTGATTTATTGGCTATTTAACACTGAGCCATCTGCTTGGGATTATAAGGGAAGAGGAAGTGCTTGGCTCTGTGCCATCAGGTGGTACATTTGTGCAAGGTCAGAGCTAGAAAACTGCCTCAAGTTAAATTAATTACAATGACACACGTGAGGGTGGGAAGTGAGGGAGGGCTACATTTAATAAATTTGTCAGTTACCTTTGGTCTGGAGAAGTGTTTACAGATAAAGCCTATCATGTGAAATGATATTTAGACATTGAGTATCTCATATGTGCTTTGTTTTATAGCAAATCTATTATCAGGAGAAATCAGTTTTCTGCCAAATAAACACTACTCAAGTCTCGGAGTGGTAGACCTTACCAAGTAAACTTGTCTTTAATCCTCTCACACTCATTACATTAACTTTTATTTATAGCGAATACACAATATCTCCCACTTATTTCAGGAAATATTCTACAAGCTGGAAGTGCACCAATAAATGAAGCTCTACACAATAGAAGAAAAAAGATGCTGCTTAAAGCTACCTGGCAAGAAAAGAACTCCAGTTAAAGGCATCCCTGTCTCTTGACAGGCTATCATAACAAACCTGTATATGTAATGTCCCTATATTCCTCCTGAGTGAGTCCTGATGCATACTCATTGTCTCTAAATGATATATATATATATATATAGACCTCCTTATCATCTTGTCTAAAGCCAAATTCCTTCTGCAAGCCAGAGGAAGTGGTCACGGTCTTGTCAAAATTGCCTCCGTAAATATTATTGTAAACAAGTTCAAGTGCTCCTGGAAGATCTCTAATGTGCTAAATAATCTAGGAAAAGCCATTCTTTGGGTAATTACATTTGCTGTCTGTACCTTTTTTCCATATCCTCAAATCCTTATATAAGCCCAGTCTCTCATCTTAACTACTCAATTCCTTTCTTGAAAAATTTGTCTACCACACTCTCGTATCCGCATCTAAATAAAGACTTCTCTTTTCTCTGTTAAAACAAAACTCACAAAAAATAAATTAAAAAACACAAACAAAAACTACTTTGAGAGGCTTAGAAACAACAGAAATTTACGTTTTGCTGATCTGGAGGCTGAGTGTAAAGTCAAGATTTGGTGTTTGTTGAGGGTCCATTGCCAGTGTGGCTCACAGGATGAACCTTGTAATGTTCCTACACTATTGGGAGGGGAGAGGACACTTATTCAGGTCTTTTATGTAAGGGTTTTGTTCTCAGTGATCTCACAAGGTCTCCATTTCCAATACCATCACTTTGGGTTTAGGATTTCAACATAGAAATTTTTGGGACACACAAAAATGCAGACTTTATGGTTTAGATCTACATTGCCTCTCCCTTTATCTCATGTGTTCAGAGATGGAGTTTATGGAAGGTGTGTTGATCATAGGGTATTAATCTCCTTTCTTCTTGCTGGAGCAAAATACCTGACACCCACAACTTAAAGGAGAAGTTTAATTTGGTTCAAGGTTTCAGTGGTTTCAGCCCATGGTTGGCTGGCTCCAAGGCAGGACCATTACGGCAGAAGGGTATTGCGGAACAAAGCCACTCACTTTATAGCAGGCAGAGATAGAGCACGGAACAGAGACAGAGAATCAAAGGACAAGAGTCAGATATACACTCCAAAATCATGCCTCCATGACCTACCCAGACACCCGTAACTGTGCTGTACTAATACCCTAGGTAGTTCCCAATTCAATTATGTTGACAATTAAGCTTATCCATTACATTCTACCTCTTGTCAAATTAACACCCAAATACATCTCTTTAAACTATACTTAGTTGTCAAATAGAGTAACAAGTTAATAATTCCACCTAACAAGATGTGACTATTCTGTGTACAATCAGAAATATAATAATTCCTTCCCCAAAGTCTCAACAAATGCATCATTGCTCTAAAGTCCAAGTTTTGTTTCCCCCGAGACTCAAAGGAAACACTTAGATTTGAAAACTTGTAAAATTCCAAAAGCAAGTAACATAACCCAAAGTACAATGGTACAGGGTAAAAATTCTCATTCCAAAAGGGAGGAATAGGTGCATAGAAAAGAATAGGCCCAAGGCAAGAATTAAACCCAGAAGAGCAAATATTAAGTCCTGTAGTTCCATGTCTGGCACATGGTGGAATGTGAGTTACAGAGGGCTTGCGTTATCCTGCCCTATGTCTTTGCCTGTTGCAATATACAGCCTCTCCCTTCAGCTGGCTCTACTCCCTGCCTGTGACTTCCCTTGAAAGACATTGCATGTTCCTGGCATCTCCAACTTCCTGGGGTCTCCACTGAACATTCAGCTTCAGTCCCACAACTTTACATATTCACCTCTCACAGACATATTGCTTAACTTCCTACACCTCCCCCTGAAATCTGGGCGGAAGCCTCCCTGACCCCACAATTCTTACATTCTGAATATCTTGAACAACCAGCATCATGAAAAAGATGCCAAGGTTGCTGCCTGCTTCAACAATAAAGAGCCCCACTTCGGCCATGGACACAGCAGTCTCTGAGTGCCTAGATAGCTGTGTACATTGAAATGAATCCTTGACAACCAGTTCTTTAGGTGGCCTTAATGGACCAGGAGGCCAAAGGCTTTTTATTTTTTTCAAATGAAGGGTTTGTACTTTTGCACCCTTCAGTTTGCAATGCAGTGGGATCTTGCCAATTCCCAAAACACCCTCAAGGCCTCTTTCTTATTGTTCTGGTTCAAAGTACTTGGCATCTTATTTAATGGTGCTAATCTCTTAAGCAACTACATCTCTTTTGGCCCAACACTATGCATGTTTTCTTTCAGGCCCCAAATTAAGATTTTTAGTCTTTC